GCTGGTGCTGCGGGAGGGCTCCCGGGCGCCCGCCGGTGCCTTCCGGGGCGAGGTGAGGAGAGCCTGTGGTGGGGACATGGTGGTGGTGAGGTGGCTTCAGGGCACCCTGGCATCAGTGCTGCCTGTCCCCAACCCAGGTGCTCTTTGTGGTGGTGGACGTGACCGGGTATGGTGCCGATGTCCTGCCCTTCTTTGGCCTGACGCCCGCTGAAATCCCCACCCTGCGCCTAGTCAAGATGGAGAACAACCGCAAGTACCGGATGGACCAGGACTCCTTCTCGGACACAGCCATACGCACCTTCGTCCAGGCGGTGCTGGACGGCAAGGTGAAGGTGAGGGATGCAGCAGGGTGCCAGTCAGCACTGAGGATGCTTCCCTGTGGTGAGTGGTGGGCTGTTAACTCTGAAGCCTAATGATGGCAGTTGTGTGGTGAACACCAGCCAACCTTCTCGCTGATGCTTATGCTGCTGGGCCTGAGGATCTGGGGGGGTTGTTATGGGACAGGAGGTAAGAGACCCTTGATGTGGACACACACAGTGCTGGGATGGTGGCAGAGGGGAAGATAGATACAGTCCAAAAGGCTGCACAGGAGCGCCCCTGGCTGCAGGCTGGGGGCCCCCGTCCCTGTCCCATACTGTGTGCCATGGCCATGCACTGCTCACCCCGGGCTGTGGCCGTCCTGGCTGTCCCCGCAGCCCCACCTGCTGAGTGCAGACCCCCCGGAGGACTGGGATGCACGGCCCGTTAAGGTCCTGGTGGGGAAGACCTTCGAGCAGGTGGCATTCGACGAGACCAAGAACGTCTTCGTCAAGTTCTGGAAGTGCTGGGGCTGCCTGCAACCTCTCCTTGAGGTCTGCACAGGGCTCAGCGCCCCCCCCAGTTGTGACAGCCCCCAGCCCCGTCCCTGACCCCTTGCCCGGGGATGCCACCCCCTGGCCCTGGCAGAGCCCTGGTCCCCCCGCCTGCCCCCTGGCACTGCGCCTGTCCCGCAGACGCGCCGTGGTGCTCCCACTGCCAGGCCATGGCCGCTGCCTGGGAGGAGCTGGGTGAGCGCTACAAGGACCACGAGGACATCGTCATCGCCGAGCTGGACGCCACGGCCAACGAGCTGGAGACCCTCACCATCAACGGCTTCCCCACCCTGCACTACTTCCCCGCAGGGCCGGGCAGGAGGGTAGGTGGGGGCACCGTCAGCGCCACCCCAGCTCTGC